CAGGAGAAGGAATTAAAGGAATACATTGCATAAAGTATGAGGTATTTGTGCTTTCTTTTATGTCTCCCCTAGCATTCAAGAAGAAAATGGTATAAATACTTGAAAAGCATTTCTTTCTTCTCTTTAAAATCACTCTTTTAAGAATTCCTTTTTTCATGGTGCTTAGAAAAGTCAGAGGTACATGCTGGCTGCTTATGTGTATAATGTTGATAAGAGGAAGCAGTCTCCTGTTCTCTTGTGTTTGAGTTCTGTTCTAGACATTTTTGGACCTAAGCAACTTTTTCCTTTCTTCTTGAAAAAGTACCCAAAAAATGAGCAGTTTTGACTTATGTTTAGCAAATCTAGAGGTTGCAATTATATAGGCAGTAAGTACTGCTGAAGTTTCAGTTATGCAATTATTAAAGTAAGACTTGAATAAATTAGGAACTTTTGGGGTAAGTGTTGAGTGGCATAAAAGGCAGCATATGGTTCTTTTAAATCCTCCAGAAGAAAATTCAGAGCTAGATATCCAGCTAATTGTATCTGTAAACTAACACTGAAGTCAAATTGTTCTTTATTTTGGTCTTATCCTCTGTAGAACTTCAGGTTTTCTCCTTTAATTCTTGTATGTTATGTGGTATAATAGAACAACTCTGCAATTTTCTTTCATTCCCATCCAGCTTCCTAACACAAGATTCTGATGAAAAATTCAGAAATCAGGAGCTCAGTAATTCATCTCAGATCAATTTATAGACGGCTAATTTTTCTTTTACAGAAACATACTGAAGGAGAGAAAAGCTTTAATGGTCAAGTGCTGTTTGAGTTTTCTGGTAGTATATTTCTTGATGTTTGGATTGGTATTCTTGGTACCTATTCATGGTACCTTATTGTAATAACAACAGAATAATAAAGGAAAAAAATCAAAAACAAGGCAAGGTTTAAATGTTTAACATTAACACTTTGATTGATTTAATATGAGAGCTTGGGGATCCTTGTCAATTTGATACTACTTGATTTTTTCAGGCTGCTCTGCTTTCAATCCAAATATTAGGTTATGTGTTTTAAGCTCTTCAAGTTGATAGGTATGTTGTTATAATATCTTTGTATTGTCTTCTTTTACCTTTAAACAAGAAGTCATGCCTTGTTCTGCAGAGCTGTGGGATCAGTGCTTCATCCAAATCACTATGTAGTGAAAAAAGTTGGTTGCATTCACATGGTCAACCTGTACTCCAAGGGGCAGTATCTTTGTGTCCTGGCCAGTATCCATCTTGAGCAGACAGCTTCCCCTTTCTGTGATGTTTAGTATTTTGATCGCTGTGTCATTAAAGCTAAAATGACAATATTAATGCTTGTGATATTTTAATATTGTCAGGGCCTAGCTGCTAGTAATTTAACTAGCAGGTAAGTTTTTCAGTGGGCATTCTTAACTCTTCAGACATGCATAGCAGATAATTCTTAGATAATCAAGTCAGAGTTGCGGAGTATACAGTCATATGTCGAAAGAAAATTACTATTTCTACTCATTTCCATTTCAGTAATATGGAAATGTCCACATCATATTACTAAGTCACGTGCAGGAAGGGAGAAATATTTAAATACATTTAGTGGGGGGAGAGAAAAAGGAATAATTTGCTTCCAGTATTTTTCTTCAAAGCACAAGCCTCTTCAGGAGGAGTGGTTGTCCTGAATGAGTACTGACCAGTGCATGAACACACATCAGCCTAAAGCGGAGCTCATGCTGTCGTAGTGAACCGCTGTGGATCTTTCACAGTCAGCTCTTAGTTTGTCCTGCTCCTTCCTCCCTTCCACTTGCATCCTGCTAGTTGCCCAGCAACTGCGATTCCACTGCGCATGCGTTTTACCTGGTAGCTCTTGTGGGTATGGTGTTTTAATTGCAAAAGTGAGGAAGAGGATTAAAGGCAGTGCTGCGCTACTAATTGTTAATTTGATCCTTTTGTACCAACAATACAGTGATATGAATTATGTAAGAAGAAGCGTACTCGTTTACTCTGGATGCACATATACAAGGGGAATAGAAGGTAATATGCTTTGTGAGATGAGGTTCTATAAAAATGGTGAAACAAAAAGAAATTATTGATCTGGGTAGGAAAGATCAGACTGTAGTCTTCCGTCAGCTGCATATTTCATACCCTTAATGCTTTTAATTTCACAGCCTTAAATCATTCCCAGTAAGTAATGATAGCAAACAAAAGCTTGCAGGATTTTAAGGTATTTTTGATTTAGTACAATGTGTGAACAAGTCAGAGTTGGCAAAATTCCACCTCAAAGAATAGGTTACATCTTTTAAATGTTACTACTGTTATATTTTTAATATAATATAAAACTAAAGTATATATTCATATACTTGTATGTTTATACATATTTGCACACACATACATGAGATTTAAAGCTGTCTAGTTAAGGGCTTTTTTAATAGGACAAACATGCTTGTGTGCTTTAAAAAATGATTACAGTTAGGACATAATTATTAGCTGTTTCTTTTCTAGTTAAATAACAACATTATTGATAGTTCTACTTGTAGTTAGACTCTGAAGTATAGAGTGGCATGGGGCCACCCCAGCAACAGAGCAGTCTAGTATTTCTCTTTTGCCTTAGGCTTTTTCTTCTCAAATAGATACATCTTTGGAATTTTAAATATAGCAGAGTTAATTTAGTTCTTCTACATAGCAAATTGAAAATTCATACTATGCAAAGAATTTTGAATTTTTTTGTACTTTTTAAGAGGATTAAGTTACGTGTACATCGTACATGTGCATAGTAAACAGATTGCTATTGAAAGAACATTATTAAGTTTGTAAAGGCAATCAATCAGAAAAAAAGTGACATAGAAGAGTTGTGAGTCTAATGTGATTCCCTCAGGAACATACATTACAATATGTTTATAAAAGCATGACAGGAAACTGCTTTGCTTTACCACAGGATGTGTTCCTTAGAAACAGAAGATAGGCACTGGCTTTCTGGCCCTCTTTATAGTGCTTGTCAGTGTAAAGTGTCTGAATGATTTGCAAATATTTCACAACACCTCTATAAACATTATTTTTATTTTAGAAGAGTAGATACCAGATGGGCAGCAGAGAGCTATTTTTTCAAGGTATTTATGATTCTCTCTGTTCTGAAACAACTTTAACTGACCTCAGGTGCAGCTGTGAGTGCTCAGCACTTTATTAACAAATTAGAGAAAAGGGGGAACGCTATTGACATAATAAACAATACAGTATGTTTTAAAGAATTGCTTTTGTTTGTGACTTCCTGTTTTTATCTGATAGGACACTGGGAAGAAAACAAGTCTGTCACTATTTTTTCTCACACAAGATTAATGCTTTAAACACCTGCACTTTGACAAGGGATGTGGGAAAGCAAAGTATTAGTCTCTCCTATGTGAACTAAGGGAGTAAGAGGCAGCATGCCCTAACTTGTTCACTATTATTTACTGGCAGCAGAAAAATAGCAAGAATGGGGAGGAGATTTATCAGACCCATTTATCATTCCTTCTATTTCAGTATCAAGTTGCTTCTCAGATAAATTAGATCTGTCTGGAAAGGTAGCTAGTAAATTTCTTAAAATCTGAACTATTTTATCTCGTGTGTGGAGCAGGTGGTCTGGCCTTGACAACAGCTTGGGTGGATCTACTTTCAGAATACTTCAGTGTCTCCTTTTTGGAGGGAGCTGCTGCTATCTGACTGTGCAGCAGCAACAGCTGGAAGTATAATCCATAATCTAGGAGGCAACCTGGCCCTTTCTGCTCAGCAGCAGAAGGCAGTGGTTGCTGCAGGTCAGACCAAAGTTATCATGGATAAAAAAGCATGGCATGTGCTTTTAGCAGGAAGATACTCCAGACGCAAGGTTTGTCCCCCTGGACACTGAGTATGAAACTGGTTAGAATTCTTATATTCTTATCCTTCTTTATGATGCAAAGGATATAAGACGCAGAAATATATTAAGAAATCTTGGATTAGGTGAGAAAAAGCTGCCTATGAAATGAGGAGATTGTTTATTTCTTACTGTTCATTGGCCTGACAGATCCATTTTCAAAATAATATCCTCTCAAATCATGATCCCATCTCAGACCTTAAGAGATGTCTAATTAGGTTAGAAAAGGCATTCATAAAAGAATCATCCTGTGCTTTTCATCATCCTTTCTCCATGGTTGGAATTGCTTCTGTGAAGGTGTTTTTCTTTTTGACTAAATTCTAAGAAAAGGAAGTGTGTAATTATGGGTTGGAAAATGCTTGTGAATGCTTTCTGTTTGCAATGCATCACTCTCTTACTCAAATGCCTTCTTCTGCTACTTAGTGAAATAAATAGGAAAAAAAGAAGTCATGATCAGATGTGTTTCTCCAGGTAACTTCCAGTCAGCTGTTGTTCAGGAAGCCCCAAAAGGGAGGATAAGGACCCTCCACACTTTGGAAGTTTTAAAAATGCTATAAATAAAGAATGGGCAATAGTAAATCTGGAAGTCTTAAACTTTGCCTGTAAACCATAGGAAATGTTCTTAGAATATGAAAGGATTTTAGATAACTCATTACTTTATTTTGGCTGATTGAAGAAATGCAATCTGTTGTACTGTTCCACAGTATTCTGTCTGCAGACAGCATCTGGTTGGGAACCACTGTGAACAAGTAGCTTGCTGTGATCAGCAGCTAAAAAAATAGTTATTAAATGACTATAAAAGAGCAACATAAGGCAGACACTTGCTAAAATTATATAACAAAATGAAGAAAAGGATAAGACTGCATTTGGAAAAAGCACTACTACAGAATGGAAATTCCATTCCTAATGCTATAAGGACAACATTCTAATACAACAGCATAGAGCATGTGTTTTAAATTTTAAAATAATAATTTGTACCAAATCTGTAAGAATAATTCAGAGCAGAGTTCAACCTTGAGCCTTTGAAATAAAAGAAAAAATGTAAAGTTTCTGTTAATTGGATCATATACGTTTGTTTTGGGAGAAAGTTGTAGTAATACTTTGTCTTGCGGAATTATTTGTCTCAACAGCTCAGGACGGCAGCTAAGTGAAGTCTTCATTCAGCTTCCGTCTAGGAAAGAATTGCCAGAGTATTATGAGTTGATTAGGAAACCAGTGGACTTCAAAAAAATAAAGGTAAAACATTTGTCCTGAAGTGGAGATTTCTTTGAGATTTTTTTTTTAATACATATGGAAAGGTGAACATTAAGTCATCATAAAAATATAATGACGTGAATATTACATTTATGTGTGTGTGGCTTAGCTTGTTAACTTCGGACAGTGTTATACACATTGTTGTGAATCTGTTCAATGTATATTGCAGTATATTTTTCCTGAACAGGTAGCAATGCATCTGCAAGCACATCTTAAATAAAAATGTAGTGCTTCCCGTAAGTGTATGGTGATAGGTAAATACAATAAACCTTAAACTAGTATGACATTTTGAAGTAGCCAGACTAAATCCAAATACAGTGGATGGATGAAGATTAAGCAACTTGTTGCACCTTAGATATTGTCATAAATATGTAACCTTCATTCTGTTACTGCACTGAGAAGGAGAAACTGGAAACTTTCCTTAACCAAAGAGCACATTTTCTGATATTTTTGGCCCTTGCAGTTCATGTAGCATTTGTATCATTTTTATTTCATTACTGTAATGTGTGTTTGGTCAGGAGTATGTTTACAGTAGTGTAATATTTACACTACGTTTTAAAGAATCGGTTTGCTTTAAAAAGATGCTTGTCATGATACTGAAGTAAAATTGTTCAAGAGAATATGTTTTAATACCATGAAATGTCATATTAACTGCATGTCCTGCCTGCTCTTCTTCTTTACCCATCTCTCCCCTTCCATACTTCTCATTTTCTCAACAAATGCAACAGGAAAGAATTCGTAATCATAAATATCGGAGTCTTGGGGATTTGGAGAAGGATGTGATGTTGCTGTGCCACAATGCTCAGACATTCAACTTGGAGGGATCACAGGTCTGACTGAACTGCCTTGTGTTTTAAACATGTTTTCACTGCATAATGTCTTCAGTACTTGATTACTATAATTATGTATATAAACTTATATTTGTTTTTGAACAAGCATAGAAATTCTGAATTTGTTTTCAAATCATTTGTTTTTAATTCTGCAGTTTTGAGATTTTTTTTTCCAGTATGTGTGTAGTTTAGAGCTGCTGCAGCGCTGTTTTACTCTGGTAAATGGCTTTTTTGTAGAGTCATACATCATTTTGGGCTTTACTAGAGTGCATGGCAAAAAGAAAAAAAGTGAAAAAAAAGTAGGTAAAAGCCTAGCTTAGGACCATTGGTAGGAAAGTGTTCAGCAGTAATGTTCAGTTCTGCTAACAGAAGATGCAACCCTAAACTTAAGGTTTGTCCACAAGCAGGGTTTTGGTTCACAATCTCTGAGTACTATGAGAAATACTGTTTTTTCTTGTTGGAAGTTCTGTGTCCATTTTGGGGGGCAGAAAAAAGGAATACTGACTGATTCTTAAAACCTCATAAAGCAAAACTGCCATCAGAGATGGATTCAGTATGCACAATGGAATATGTGGTTGCATGAAATCCTGTGAATTCAGAATAGAAGACGCACAAAAGGAAAGAGTACAAAATTTTAATAATAAGTGGGGAAGTTGACTCTCAACACAGTAAAATGGTTTTGGATGCTCATTTTCATAGATGAGGTATGAACAGTGCTAACAAAATACTAAGCTGAAGAAATCATCAAAATAATTGTATTTGCAAGAGAGAAAAGTGACATTATGAGTGCTTTCAGGGGGCTGCGAGTTTCCTACTATCAATGCCAATGCATCCTCCAAATTCCCAAATACTATTGATTGTCCTTTGTTAAATAGGCAAATATTAGAAATTGGAAAAACAAATATTGGAAAAATTGGAAAAACAAATGAAAATGAAATTAAACACATAATAAAATGTGAAGTTGTTAAAATATAACTGAACTATGATTATTTTTGCTATATATGAAAAAAATAAATGATTTCCTGTTATTCCTAGCTGCCTGATATCTTAACTGCATTTAGTTATGTGGAAATAAACTAATATTATAAGTAAATCATATACAATTATTTTGGCAAAGGAGCTAATGATGGCTGGAAATATGAGACAGAAACTTATGAGCTGTCCAGACTCATTGCTGGTTTACTCTTTAGTGTTGTAGCAGTAAAATAACTACCAGTACATAATGAAAATAAATTGGAAAAAAATAAAGGAAAGCTGATATTGAAAACTGTCACTGAAATATAAGGAATTTTTAGACTTTGGCAGAGTAGATAAAAAGATTCCCAAAAAAAAATTGAGAGAAAAGAATAGTTAATTGAGAAAAGTAAATAAAATTATTCTTAATTCAGAATGAATTTAGTTACTAATGAGGCACTCATTTCTTCTTAGAGTGAGATGGTAGAATTGATGGGAAAGATTGTAAATAGGTAATATGCTATGTAGTAGATGTTTCTGCTTTCCCTTATGATGGAATAATGCAGAAATATATTCCTTTCCAACATACTGTCATGAATTGAGCCATTTCAGAGCATCAGGACCATATCCATGCAAACGTGGGTGAAAAAAAACAAGTTTTATCATGCTCAAACATAAAAAACACAGCAGTGCTCACCAGAGCAGGGTACTGTCTGCACTGAGAGGCTGTTTTTCTAAAATGGACTTGGCAGTCAATGAAACGAGAAACTGTATGCGCCATTCTGTGTATTCTGCACAAAGTTTTATGGAATTCCTCATGCTAAGCCTGCAAGGAGTTAGAGCATCTTTAGCAGTTCCAACCTATCCACATTAGAGAATGGTAGCCAAAATTCCTTCCTTTATCTTTTTCACAAATAGTCTTTAATTTAGGGAAGGGAGTAGTATAGCCTGGATAGTTCAAATGATTATGGAAAACCAAATGCATCTTAACTCCCTGCCCTTCTGTTGACTACTGTGGATTTAGTTACAGTTTCTAAACCCTTCTGAGTCATATGTAAAATGTTTACTGTAGAGATACATGGTGAATTGTCCAGTGGATTTTTTTTTTTTTTTTGATACAGTTTACAGACTGGTACATATATGTCATTTATTAAGACATTTATGAAGTCCCAGTTACTCGACCAGTGCTTGAGTTTAAGATAAAAACTGAGATACTAGCAATATTTAGCCATAGTACAGAATATTAGAGTATAAGCACTGATTCTTAGTCTTTGGGGTTTTTTTTGGATCTGAGAGGAGAGAATAAGCTATTCAGGATACATTATTTTCTTTGTAATTTCTTCTGATTTTGGAACTTTTTTTGTTTGAAAAAATTAAGGCTAATGAACGGAGGGGTTAGCCACGTCCTGATAGACTGTAGTCCAAGTTAAGACACATCCAACAGAAGACTGTCACTTGGGCAGCTTTTCAAGGCTGTTATGAGCTAATGGAAATACAGCATAGTTACCTGTGATAGGAAAAATAATTAAGGAGGAAAAACACCTGTATTCCATGAAGGAATATAAGTGGTATTTCTGAGGCTCGGTATTGGCAAATTTCTTCATTTAGAGCATGAAAAATTAATGTTAGCATTTCCTGTAAAATTTATGCAACAAGCATCATTACTAATAATTAAGAAAGGCCACATACTCAGTGGGTTTGCATTGAAAATGAAGTTCCATGCTGTGAACTTTTGATGATGCATGACTTCACAGTTGTGATATAAGTCTGTGTTCATTCCATAGATCTATGAGGATTCCATTGTCCTCCAGTCTGTGTTCAAAAGTGCACGACAGAAGATTGCCAAAGAAGAAGAAAGCGAGGATGAAAGCAATGAGGATGAAGATGAGGATGATGAAGAGGAGTCAGAGTCAGAATGTGAGTTTTTTGCTCAAAACTGAAAGGCAAATGAATACACATGGGGGACAACAGTCCAAGGTTATTCAGGAATCAAGCACTTAACGTTTTCATCAGAAAGATATCAGCTCAGAATTTGCCAGTCACCTCCACCTGAGGTTTCTGGAGTTCAAAATAACAAAACTTCTCATTCTTATAAAAGATAGGTATTTTCTATGTGCAAGCAAGGAAAATTATTTTTAAATGTTCATCCTGTCATGCAAAGTTCCATGAACATAATCACAACACAAAATGCAACCTGTCGACACCATCCATCTTGAGAGTGAAAAGAAGAAACACAAGGTCAATTTTGCTTGCACAGTTTAATCCTAAAATTATTGTTACCATTTTAAAGTAGGCAAATAAAAGCAAATATCTTCTCTTAATTGTTTCACAGTCCAGATAATGAACATGGACAGCATTTAAAATGGATAGATGTTTTTCAATAGTTAATTTTGTTGAAATAGTGGGAAATACTAGCGAATAGAGATATTACGCTCACGTGGACTGTTACACTTTTTGCAGCAAAATCAGTGAAAGTCAAAATCAAGCTAAGTAAGAAGGACGAGAAAGGTCGGGAAAAAGGAAAAGGCAAGAAGAGGCAAAACCGAGCGAAAGCCAAGCCTGTTGTGAGTGATGATGATAGTGATGAGGATCAAGATGAAAATGTAAGTTTTGTTGACTAAGACTGTGGAAGTGGTTGCAGGCATTGCGACTCTCCCTTCTCCTGCTTGCTTTCAAAATTCTCACGTATTCATGCCTGGAAGTATTAACCATGTTTTATTCTGTGGTCCTCATCTTGGGAGAATGGGGGTGGTGGTAACTCTGTCAGGGTGTGCTTATGAAGTCTGGTCACAATGATGAAAAATAAAGAAGCCCAGCACGTTTGGAGCATAGTTGTTGAAGCTGTTCCTGCTTTCACTGACCTTTTAAACATGGATTGCTTGCATTTTGTCCCCACATTAGAACCACTTAAGAGAGTTTTTTTTTTTTCTTTTTTTTTTTCTTTGGGGGGGTGTTTGTAAGGGATTCTATTAATGAAGTGAACAAAAGCAGACCTCTTCCCAGTCATTTTAAAGTGTGTAGACAGAAAGGGATAGGATTTCATGACTGCCATTTCTTCTGTAAAGAAGCCTATAGAAATTGAATGAAATGTCATGAAAGAGAATTATGAGATAGGCTAGCACATTTCTTAAGACTATCTTGATTTGTCAGTATGTCTTTTTTTTTTCCTTCTTTTACTTTCTTTCTTCTGTAGCGAATTCTGTAGAATAGCTGGCAAAGAATTTCTGACCTTTCTTGTGTCTCTTACCTCTAGGACCAGTCGGAAGCAAGCGGAAGTGATGATGAGTGATCCATAGGGTTTATTTTCTTGGCAGAACTGACCCCCTCCCCTTCTCTTCTCCCTTCTCCTATTTTACACCCAGTGAATTCATTTTGTCAAATAGACATTGGGTTGTTTCTGTATTTTCATTCTCTATAAACTAGCTTTAGGATAGTGCCAGACAAACATATGATATCATGGTGTAAAAAAGGAAAAATGTAACATATTGTGACCAAATCGGCCTCAAAGATTTAAAAATGAAACAACAAAAAAGAGCTTTTGATGGAAAATGTGGGTTGATAGTATATTTCTATGGGCTGGGTTTAGCTTGGTAATGACTTGATTGTGCCTGGTTTTATTGTTTGATAGGATGTTTTTCAGTGGCAACAGAAAGACAAAAACAATGTCTTTTGTAGCATTGATAACCAGGAAAAGCCATTAAAAGCCACTGGTTATTTTATTTTTCATCAGGCAGTTTTCCAGGTTTTTATTTGTTCTGTACTGGGTTTTTTACACTGTGGTACATATATGCAACTTTGTTTAATAGCTTATAAATGTACAGTAGTTAGCCTTCACCCATCTTGTCTCATATATGTTTTTCCACCTTATGCTTGACGATCTTCAGAAAAATGCTTTTTGAATTGTATCAAATTTATGTCTACTGTAAACTTTGCTTAACTTTTTTCTCTTTGATTAAAAAAAAAAAAAGTTGGGTTGAAAATGCTATTGAATATTGCAATCTATATAGTGTAATGGATGGCTTCTTTCATCAGACTGATCTTCTATGTTACCAATGTGGATTATCACCTTTTCCCTAAAGTGTACTTAATCTTTGCTTTCTTTGCACAATGTCTTTGGTTGCAAGTCATAAGCCTGAGGCAAATAAAATTCCAGTAATTTTGAAGAATGTGTTGTTGGTGCTTTCCTAAGAAACAGATAATATAGGCCAATTGATACAGCTCTGTGTTACAAGTTACATGAAAACCTTTTTCATAATAGGAACAAGGGTGCCTTCTGTAGACACCTCTGCTGTACTCCTGAACAAGAAAGATAAAAACTCACTCAAACTCCACAGGAAAAAAAAAGTTCATTGAGATTCCATAGAGTATTTTCAACGATACAGAGAATATTTTATTAAAATAAAACCTGAAATAATAAAAAAAAAAAAAGCTGTGAAATAAAACTGTATGTCAATACCTAATTACAGCTCACGTGATTAACGGCTTGGGGTAGGGTATTTTTGTGTGTGTATGTCCATGAATTTCAGTGTGTGTGTGAATACACAGAAATTTTGCAGACAGTCATGCAGGCAGTTGCCCCATCTATAAATCATTTTATTTTCTGAATTATTATCTTGCAATAGCATAATTGAAGTGTGACACATTTAATATTTACTGTAAACAGGGCTGCTGCCCGTGGAAATCATAAATCTTGCTTTTTGGACAATACACTGAGTATACAATGAGCAAACTAGGACTTGAGCTCTAAGCAGGACATGGTTGGTTACCTGGACCATTTGTTGTTAGTATGTGTCTATATCACATCTCTGTACTGGTCTCTGGTACACTGCCTACTTTGGATCTTTCTACTTCAATTGTAGAGTGATTTGTAGGTTTCTCAGCACCCCCTGTATTGAAGTTACGACCTAGATGTGACTGAGTGGGTAGCTAGTCTGGCATGTTTGTTGACAAAGCAAAACTAAAGAGACTGCTGTTCATCCTCCTCTGAGACTCTTGAACTTAGTGTGCAAGGCTAGTGGTATCTGAGAACCATGTGGACTGCTTCATGAAAATACTTCAGTGACCTTTGCTTAGTTTTAGCAAGTTCAAGCATTTTATTTGTTGTGCTAGATGTGTAATAACCTTACATGGCAATAGTACATCCAACTGGAAGTATAAGAGAATTTTGCTTCCTTGTCAGTTTGCTTTTAAATGATGGGAAAAATATGGATGCAAATCATCTGCCTTCTGTGACTCCTGCTTATCTTCCACAGAGGGTAGCTGTGGTAATTTACCTTACAGAAGCCTCAGAACAAGTTTTGAAGAGTGTTTTATATGGTAATTACTTGGGCTCCTGCTTTCCTGACTTCTGAACCTGAGGGATTCTGTGCATTGTCTCCACAGAAGGTACCTGGTGACTCCCCCTGGTTTGGTGGCCCTGAAAAATTAAACTACCCTGAACAGATTCTCCTCTGTGTGTCCTGTCTGAAGGGGAGACGGTCCAATTGACAAATGCACGTTTTGTCTACAGAGACCATGTTCCCTTTGGTTTCTCCATCAACAGCAATTGAGTTCCAGAAGGTGATGTAGCTACGTGATTTTTCTGTCGCAGAATGAACCAAGTCTACCAGGCTGCTTCATGTGACTACAAACAGCTGGCAATAAGCTTCAGTTACTGCTGATCCGGCCTGGAATTTCGCTGTTGACTTGGATGTAAAAATCACAATTCTCATTGCCTCGTCCCCAGAGATCTTGCTGACTTTCTAGTGACCTGGTTTGATTTATTTTTCAAGAATGTTATTTACAGTTGGGTGTTCAGCTGCAGAGTAAACACCATCACAATTCTGGTTAAAATGAAAATACCTTCATTGTAGTGAGTAGTCATAAGCTGTATTAAGAACCTAGTCTGCATGAAGCAGTACATTTTAATTCTTAGGTGCAGTTTTTGTTTCTTATTACCAGTCTTCAATCACTTCAAAATGTCCTCAGTTCCCTGCAGAGTTTCAAGAAAAATACAGTTATGTTATCATTAGATTTAAATGGTTTTATTACTGTTATTATTAAGCCATGTCTGTACTTCCACCAGATTTGGTGCAGTTGTTTTGTCTAGGATTTGAATTCTCTGCCTACCCTGTTTAATTTTTTTCATCATTGTCTTCCTCTCCTTTTGTGTAAACTTAGCAGCATTTTTCGGGATGAGCTTTTCCCCAGTAATCTAATGGCATCAGTGTATGAGAAGGGGTATCCCAGTTAAATGTTTCTCATGCATAGGATTTTGAATTTTTTAACAAAAAAAAAGGACGAAGCAACCTTGTTTTAAGGTTAGTATGTGTTAAGCATGGAGCATACTTACCCATTCACAATTAATACAAAATATAAAGCACTTGAAACACCTTCCAAATGATACATATGAGAAGCACCAAGGAGTTCCTGACAGGTTAAAACATTTTTTTTCAGGATTTTTTTTTAAATGATTTTTTCTATTCCCCTCTGCTCATATTCCAGAAAGCTCTGAAATCTACAATTCCTGCACAAATAATTTGCTTCCCAGATCAGTTTCCTGTTTTGTATAGAGACTTGGACTGTAAAGTGCAAACCTGGATGCAAAAGAGTTCTGCAAATTCACAAAAGGGTCTAGCAGAAGAGAAATGTGTATTTCTGACTGTAAGAAAGGGAAAAATGTTCAGGGGAGGCAGAGATTAAAAAGACACCATTTTAACTGCTTTGCATTGGAATTATACATCATTTTACAAGGAGTGCCTCATCCCTAATCTTTGTGTTCCAAACCAGGAATAGAAGAAAGGTAAGACATTAACGTAGGTTGCTGACCAAGTTATCAGTCAGCATCAGTCTAGTTCAGTTTATTCATGCTGGACATCCCACTTAAGTGGTGCAGATTGTTGTATGTGGGGACAAGAAGGTGTATGTGGTGTAACTGCCCTTGCAGAAGAGCTCGTGCCTGCTCTCCAGACACACCAGTCCTTGCCTTTTCCTCCTGCTTACATGTGAGGTTTGTGCATGAGGCAATTCAGACTATACTCGACTCCACTGTTGCACAGAAAAAAATGGTTGTGTCCTGGCGAAGATGCTGAATTCACTGCCTTGATCCAGCTCTCTTACGAGGTAAAATGGTTGGAACTGCCTCTGTTGAAGGAGCTTCTGTGTTAATCCTTATGTCATTTTTATATATATAATTTTTTTATATATATATATAGTTGGTTTTGGTTTGTTTGTTTTTTTTTTTTTTTTTTTTTTTTTTTTTGTGTATGACCACACCACTGTTCTGCTCCAGGTAGGTAGGGGATGACACTTGTGTTTTCATCTGACTCTTGCTGACTTTGCTGTTTAAGACTGAACTACAAATAGCTCTCTGTCTTGGAGGTCTTGTGCTCCCAGAGTGACCAAAGGACTTGTGTTTGGACATGCTGCCCAAGAGGACTATTCCTATAGCAACTTTCAGCTCTGAGAAGCTTTCTGATCTTGACAATGTCATTGTTTTGTGCATAATCCAGTGTTGTAGTGACACACACTCATACTGCTTCATTTTATTTGCCTCTTTCAATGGTGTTAACTCAAGATGTATCTTAAATATTTTGCATCTGAGATTCCAAAGTTTACATGGGTGATTCACCCATGTAGAGATGGAGATAGAAATAAGCAGTGACAGGAGACCTCAGTGTATCAATGCGAGTGTGCTGTAGCTAACTGAATGCCAAATAACACTTCCTTTCTCTGTTAAGAGCAATAGCTTCTAATGGATGTTATTTTCTACATCCACTAGTATTCTTTGGATTACAGGATGCTGCTTAATCCATTTTACTGCGGTAGTATTTATGTGCCTTTTCCCTTCAGGGATTTTGGGCATTGTTGCCCTTCTCTCCATCACTTCCCCTTGAAGTCAGCTTTGTAGGCACTTAGGCACCTGAGGGACTTGAAGCAGTTGCTGCTGAGCCTTGTGTCTTTGGTCCCTCTGGCACGAAATGAGGGAGTAGGAGGGAGGAAAAGGCCACTCACTGACCATCCACTCAACGCTTGCCATTTCTGGAGATGAGGACAGCTGGTAGCTGCTGGTGTTGTTGCCTCCTGGTGTCACCCACTCCTCCGTGGGTTCCTAGGAACCCTTGGGTGGCTGTTAGGGGCAGGGGGTGATACCGTCAAGCAGAGCAGCGTCCTGGCAGCGCGCTCAGCACTCGGACCTCCGCAGTGCAGGGTGGCAAAAGGAACTTAAAATTTCACAGGTCCTTAAAATGCCCCTTAAAAAGGGACGACCTTGGCAGAACAGGGGCTCTTTGCTTTTGTTTTGCAAGGCCTGGTTGCACTAATTTCATTTGATGCAGTGGTGGCTGTTGAGTTCAAATGTCATGTCTTGGTCTCCTCATTTTCTCTCACCGCTTCAGTGTGTCCAGTGACCCATAACAGATAAGAAACACTGAAGTAGGAGAGATGAACGAGTGGGTATTGCTGTTGAGAGCAAAGAAGGTCTAGAAACAAGATCAGGACCACAAGGATTTAAGTCATTCATCTTGCATGCCGAACCTAACAAATTTTTCCCCGCTCCTTGGAGAGAAGGAACGTGTTAAAAAGCTGCACAGCACGACTGCGGCGCTTCAGAGACATGATTTCACTAAAATGTTGAGGCTAAAAACAGAAAAAAAAAAGCATCTTGTCTCTGTGGCAAGATGGGTACCGAGGGCTAGCGACGCGTGGCTGGTGTCGCCGGGCTGGCTCGCGTTAAGCCTCTTAGCCCTTCCCGGAATAGAAGCGTGAGGTGCGGGCGGTGAGGCGCCCGAGGGAGCGGCTGTAGCCGTGTGGGCCGCCCGCCCGGCTCGGCCGGAGCCAGCCTGGCCCTTCTGCGCAGTAGGTGGCCCAGCCCCGCTAGATCGGCACCCTTCTTCTCAGTAGGTGGCACGCAGCAACCGCCTTGCCCTGGTGCCATGGAGGGCAGCGCTCCCCATTGAACCACGGGCACCCGTTCCTCTTGGCCCTTGGGAGGCGTTTTCCCTCACGTTTGAGGGAAACTTTGCCCTTGAGGGGCTAAAATGTTGGCAATAGGAGGTTTCTGGCCTCGGGAGCAGCCTGTCTGCTGTCTGCTCACCAGCCTTCTCGTGGTT